ATTAGGCGAGGTGAGTGCAGTTGCGCAGCAATTTCATGGCGAAGAATTGCGAAAATTGTGCCAATTTATTCGAGGCATACGAGATTCTTGCGAGCACTACTCTGCTTGAAATAGCTCATACTAATCATCGCTCATATTTAAACTATTTTAAGGGCTACGTCAGATGCGACATCGTACACTACGAAACGGTTGTAATTTTCATCGGATAAGTTGAATAAGAAAGACACCCTCTGTGAAAGTCCCAAAGCGCAATGTCAAAAATAATGTTAACGGCACCTCTCATAAATTAAGACTGTTGTTTGCCTTACGCGTGATTCACACCAAAGACACGCGTCTTTTTATACAAGAAATTTTATTTGATCCATCGAAAGATTCTTTTCTTCTTCTTTTTTTTTTGTTTTTTTATTTTGCTTCTTAAAAGCTTTCTCCCGGACGTCGAGGTGATTCACGAGACGCCTCGCCGCCTTACGTATACCTGGGCCTCTCGAGTTCTCGCGCTCGCGAGCGAGAAAAGGCTACTGATAAGCGAACAATTTATTTGCTCAGAGCCCACCACGTGTGTACGTGACGATTTATTGGCCAGGTAGGATTTATGATTATTGATCTGCGGCTGGCTTGTATCGCATCGAAAGGAAGAAATTCTCCGTACTCTCGCGCGCGAAGTGTTAAGGCGCGCGGCGCGAATAAATCGGAAATATGAGAAGCGAGAGTTTCAACTATGTCGGCCGGCGAGAATCGTACGTGCGCGTCGTTGTATCGAGTAAATGAATATAAATTGTAATTACGGCTTTTATTCTCGCGTGCAATAAATCCGTTTGCCAGGATTCATTGCTATGCGCTCTGCAGCGCGCTTTTATTGCGCGCTCCTATATGTATTTCCGCTAATGCTTAGCGATAAAATTCAAATTTATACTTACTCAATTTTTAGATCAAAGAAGTGTCGATCGATCGCCTACGCGCTTGCAGTCTGCACTCGTTTCGAATTAGTCCAGCCGCAGCGCGATGTATGCAGTCGATCGCGGGAAAAAAAAAAGCCACGGCAATTGGACAGCCGCAATTTGCTAAGTATCACGCTGAACCTTACAGACTCGCGTAGCATCCATTATTCATCGCGCACACTTGCAACCCTGCAACCATCTACACTTTCCATTATCAAGATACTTGCTGTGCTTTAGTTGGCCGTTTATTTCTATTAAAAGGCTCGGTGCGGACATGTTGGTGTCCGTCGGTTGCATTGATAAATCCAAACTTGAGCAAGAGGCTTCTCTGGATAAATTCCAGTATCGTGTTTCTCTTTGCCGCATCAAGAAACGTGAGTGGAGTGACGATGGAGGAATATGCGTTGAGCCTCGTCTCTTCTCTCTCTCTCTCTTTCTCTCTCTGAGAAAAGCAGCCTTGACCTTGACTGCTGTGCCCAAGATAGGAGCTACCACGAAAGAGATAAATAAAAAAAAAGCTCGCCTTTCCTACGAAGAAAAAGAAACCGAAGAAAAAAAAAACGAAAAAAAAAAAATAAGAAAGTCTCCTGCTGATCATCGCAAAGGGTACATATCTCTCCGCCTGAGGTCACTCCCATCACTCGTATGTTATATCCTCGAAGAAAGCCATGGGAAGCCTGAATTTGAGCTGCTACTACCCTTATGTCTAATAAAGACATTCTTCATTTCCATTGTGCTGCAGGGATAGGTCATCTTTCGACAAAAAAAATGTTCAACTGCCCCTCTCCTCCTTTTTTGCATCATTCAGGCTTGAATTATTGTCAAACCAGCTGGTTGGTTGGTTAGTAGACGGAACAAATGCTCTAATTACTCGTCTCTCTGATGCGCGAGTGCGAGTCGTTCGTTAACACGCAAACCCCTACAGGAGGAAGGTTCATCCTTTTATTTCGATGAAATAGAGTCGCCTGGAAGTCTGTTATAAGATTAGCGTTGTCTGGATTATACCTATGTGAGCCAGTTTTTAGAGTTATTGAGTTTTCGAATTTTTCCGGTCCGGGCAATATGGTGAGCGAGCGAGCAAGCGAGTACGGGAACTAATGTGCCTGTTATGGCGAGAACTAATTCGCATTAATGGCTGTTTCATAGAGTCCATATGCGATTCAATTGAAATATGTTTCATTTTTTATTGGAGCCGTAAACGTTAGAGAATACATAAAATATTTAGGTAGATTATTTTTACTTTGGATTTTGGGTTCTCTTGTCTATTTTATATTTTTCCATTTCTGAGTTATAAAATCTGACAAATAATTAGTTGTTATTTATGTGAATAATCGTTTTAGTAGAACAAAATAGTTTATATTTGTATCTAAAGATAAATTATATCTGTTAAAAAAATTTCTTTAATACCGCAGAAAGATAACTTTCAAAAACTTCAGACACTTTCAATCAAATGTTTTTTATATTTTCTTGTACGAAGAACTATGCATGTTTGTTAGCTTAATGATAGTTTATTTTGTTGTCGTCCTTTAGTTTTCTTTAAATCATAATTTTAGGAAAAAGCTAGTCTAAATTCTAAAGAATATTAAGTGACATTTAGTTTTTTAATAACTCAATAAATTTAATATATAAATTGAACTCGAAAAGAAATGTCAATATTTGTAAAATAAAACTGCCCAATTGAAAAATTATTCCCACACAAGTTGTAGCTAAAATACCTAGAATCAAAGGCGCAACATGGCCGTTGGACTGGTCACGCCGACCACGAAGGAATATGTGCTCACGCAAGCGACGGATTAGTATCAGTAAGGAAGCAGAAACAACAACAATGCACTTTTTCTTTCCCTCGCATGCAGTTGTTGTTCAGCTTGGTGGCTTCTTTTGGCGCATATAGACGCGCAGCTGCAGCTCTCTCGCCAGAGAGGGTCTCGTGAAAACAATGACCTCGTTATTCGTTCTCTCGAGCAGAGAGAGAGAGAGAGAGAGAGAGAGAGAGAGAGCCCAATCGAGAAAACATCGAAATTTACGACATATAGAAGAAGAGCGTTCTCGCGCTCCCTCTTGATCTCTGGCAGAGCTGCGGCTATAGTAACGCAAAGCGATCTCTTTCTCTTACCTCGGTTGGTTCCTGCTTTCGGGATTTATATGTATTACAGCGTAGCGTTTGAATTGCAAATCCATGTCGTGTAACGCATCCCCTATACGCTCAAAGCGCAAGCTCTGGCATTAGCCGAGCGGCGGCTATCTCTGATGATGCAGCCATGGGAGAGCACAGCGAGTCCTCGTGCGTGCTAAGTCCGTGCAGCTTATACGCTTACTTAAATACTGGCTACAGTGCATTTCCTCGTTTTTGTTACACTCCATACTCCTCGCGCTGCAACGTATATGCGCAACCTACTCCGATTTATGGCTTACCGACTTTACGGCCATTGTTGCATAAGAATTTTAATCAAGTCGACGCGCGCACTTCAAGCTACGTTGCACGTGGCTTATATCTTTTGATGTTATTGCACGAGATAATAACTGTTGACTTTTCCAACTATGGCTTTCGTGGTTTTTCTAGAATCGCCTACTTTATTGCACTTTTATACAAATATTTAATTTTCAAGTGCATAAATTTCTTCTCTTGCATAAATTTGGGTTTTACGAGATGTATTACACGTTTCTGACTGTAATTTTTAATATTTTTAAAAGTCGCATTAAGATTTTACCAACAGACGGAAAATACACCCTACAATTGTTAAAGTTAAAAATCGTATATAATATCGATTAAGTTTATTTGCTTGTTATTTCAAGATTGTAAATTAAATTGCTTTTTTCCTGTAGCATTACATTAAAATTATCATCATAAATTTATTAAATAATAATTTGTAGTATATCATACTCAGGACATTCATTTATCTATCAATGTAAGAGAATCATTCATCAGTATTCATCCAAAACACGTGGACACGTGACATTTGAAGAATTTAATTCACTTTGACAAAAGAAATAAATCTCGTGATATCTGTCGACCGGCTCGACTTTATAAATCAATTAATTCAAAAGTTCAAGCCAGCGGACATTGATATCAGCAGTCTCGTGGCCTAATCATATTCGTTTAAAAATATCTGTGTCGTATGTGAACTCAACTTTATCTTTGCATGCGGCTCTCTCGCGGCAAAATGAATCTTGTTCAGTTCATTTTTTTTTCGTCCCTTCCCATGGCTCGTCGACTTTCTCGTAATTTTCTTACACAAAGAGCTCTCAGTGTTGGCGTATATAACGAACAGAAAATCGTTTGTGACGAATGAATTGATCGCTTTATTCGTGCTTGGAACCCGTTGAAATAGCAGCGCATTTGTACAAAGTATCGATAATGGGCGCATTCGGAAAGTTCATGTGCGATAAAACTTGCGTAATGATCTTCAGGCGCTATCGGCAAGCCACTTTTTCCTTGACTTCTCTCTCTCTCTCTTCCTCCCTCCCTCCCGTCGTCCCTCTTTCCTCTCGCGCACTTATTTTGGAGTCGTGCCTTTGTGACTATATACCCATAATTAAATTACTTTAAAGTTACGATGAATTAGCAGCTGTTGTCTCGGGACTTATAAAACAAATTGTTTTTGACTCACGACTGATTATCTCACGTATGAATTCGGCGCGTACTTCCACTCGTATATTATGCTTTATTGCTTGTTTTGAATACTTGATGCGGCTATTACTGCTTTTAATGTAACCAACTCTAAATTAGGATGATTTACGATACTTTACAATAAGCTCTTACCAATCATTTTGCTGAACGCTGCTAGCCAAATTTACCAATGGCATAGAAACGTACGAAAAAATCAGAACGTACGTTGCATTATAAATAATATTACACGAAAAAAATTAGTTTGAACAGTCTTACACCAGTTTAGAATTCACTTGTGAACCACTGAATATTCGTCAAGCCATGTAGAATCTATTAATTGTTAATAAAAATTGATTTGAAACGTCGATGGAAGTTTCAATCATCTGTTATTGTATATAGTATAAAAATATCAATTAGAAATTCTTCTAACGAAATATTACTTATGTTTGTTGCAGTTATTATGGATTGAAGTTTATACCGGAAAAGTCTGCTAGACACAGAGTGATGATAGAGTATCGTGAAAAGAGGTAAGAAAAAGATACTTTTGATTTGGATACGCATGCGTTCGGCTGACTCTTCCGACGCGTCTCGTCCGTATATAGGTATTTTTACCATTCAGCCTGCAAAACATAGCGCAGCTTAGCCGCTGCAATAAAATTCTTGCGAAAGCGTGAAGCGTTATGGCCGCTTATCCTTACCCTACTATTAGCCCCAAACTATTTATAGCCTCATTCGTTTCATTTTATGTTTCAATTTAGATGCATCGATACTTGTTTGCTTACGCCTATACCTGCCACTCAAAAAAACATCCGCGGTGGTGAAGCCTAGAACTTCACCAGGTCCATTATTATTCTCATATTTGTAATTTACTATCCGTTTTATTTTTTTCTCCGCCACCCCTTCTCTGACCGACAATCAATTCTCGCGCGAGCGAATCGTCGAAGGGTCGCGCTGTACAGCTAACAGCAGTTATCGCATTCGTAAATATGTTGATCTGACTTTTATGCCTGTTTGCTTGTTCGCACCTTCCGCCACGTATATCGACGTATATAATATACTTACGTGCTCCTTTTTTTCTTCCGTTGCGTCATTTCTTTATCCGCACTCGTTTTTGTAATGCACGAATCGAGCTACCATATAAAGTTTATGAAAGGAATTAATTGATGCTGATTATTCGAGAATATTATGTATCGTTTAATTTCTTTCTTTTTTTGGCGATGCTCGCGTGCTGCCACTAAGTAATATTTTATTCTTAATACTCAAATAGTACAAAGTTATTTATCATCTTCAGAAATATGCTTTTTCAATTTCAAAATTTGACTATAGTAGCGACAAATAGCGACACAAAAATATTCTGCCAACAAAGTTTAGAAATAAATTGACAAATTTTTATTAGCAGCTACTTAAGTTGTTACTAACACTTTGATTATTTCAAGAAATCACACTTATCCCGGAAGAATAATCGGACATTTCGGTGCCTTGTAGAGGAAGCCTTATCCTGGCTATTCCTTTTCCTTTTATAAATTTCCTGTCTCGGCGTAATTGTTTTTATGTTCTAGCGATGAGTATTCGACGAGTTTTTGCTGTTATATCGGAACGCGTTGTCGATCCGCGTGCGTGCGCGCTGCTTTTACAGGAAAATAATGAACGCGCGCGCGTCGAACTAAGAATTTTCTCGCGCGGCCAATGAACGCGTAGCGGTGTCGGGCAAATCGCCTGCGCCATAAACAATTTGCGCGCGGCAGGGTGCGATGTTATTAGGCATCACGTGCTGAACGAAAATTGCTAAGGGTGCTCGCGCGCGAGGGAGCGCGCGTACGTCCCTGATTCAGAGGCGACGCTGAACCGGTAAGGTAGGCAGCTGCAGGGCGGGATGCGATCGGCGCGCGGATATTACACGCTCGCTTGGTGAATAAATTCAACGCCAATTACAAAAGAGAAAAGTGCGAGCATAACTGGCGTGCAGTGATCGAGTCTAGATTTATTGGCTCTGATCGCGCCTGGTCGATGGTTAGTAAGCCGAGACCGAGGTAGGAACGCAGCGTAATTGTTTATTTATAAGGTTCGATTGAAGGTTGATAAGTGATGCACTCAAGGGAAGACGGTTCTAGGGATAGGCTATCGACCGCAGAAAACTGCAGCGCCCTGCATCCCAGATCCGAACAGGTGATACGCAAACGGACCACCAGATGGCAAACCGCACCACTTCCGCCGCTTCGATAGCTTTCCGCTTCCATTGACAATGCGCTGACGTCGAAAGGCTCTAGATCTCAATGCAGCTGACTCCTTCGAGCCATCAAACTTTTTTTCACGTGGAGCTGTTTAAGCTTCCCTTTACAATGCTGGCGTGCGCTCTGCGTTCTGTCAACATTTCAACTTTTCTCATTTTTCTGTTGCGACCGACCATCAGTAGCGAAAGAGTACGTTATTTCGTATACTACAGAATATTTTTCATAAACAATGTATATACTTTTATACTTGCATACGTAATAAAATAATTATTTATAAAATTTCCATTTTTTTTTGTATACAGTTCTGTACTATCTTGATTCTTCCTTATTTCTTAATAACACAATTACTACTTATATATCAAAAAAGAATATGAGTGTAAACGTGTACAAAGATTTTTTTATATTTTTAATTGAAAAAAATAGATGGCAATTGATAAAAAACTCATAGAAATGTCATAAATAGTTTTCTCACTATTATAATAGTGACATATTCTATTATCATTTTTCGATATATCATAAAATAAAGCTGTCATTGTGCCCTTTTTTCTTTCTGCAGAAGTACACACGATGAATATTTTACAAAAATATTATTAAAACTGGTATAATTTATTTGAAAACTTAGTTATCGGATAACCACTTCAATTCGTTTAATTTTTAGTAAGTTTTTAATCTGTTTAATTTTTATAAACCTTGTCCTTGAAGTTTTGTGTCTCTACTTTATTACTTAATAGTAATTTGAGCATATTTCTTCCGTATTAAATGAATCAAATTAATAAGTGATATAGTACTAATGATACAGTGAAGTTATATATTAAAAATTTACTTTTCATTGATATTATATATAGTTTTCTTTCAATGGTGAAGTCAAATACTTTGACCGCATATCAACCCCACTGCATGCCGTGAAATATTTACAAACATTCAACAAAGATTGCAAGAGAGAGAAATAATTAACAGTAATATTGATTAATTAATGTGTTGAAGAGAAGTTCATTCTTCTTTATTTTGAAAAGATATAATATTTTTATCAGCCAATTTAAAATTACCGAAGTTTAAATAAAAATTAGTGTGATAATTTAATATTGTTATTACACATGCCAGATCAAAAATAAATAAATAAGACGGAGCCGTGAAGCAAAATAAGCTCGGAATTGATCGTAACGAATGCACGTTGGGCCGCATCCGAAAAGCAGTGAGGTACACGAGTAGCACAGCGACGGCGCAATAGCAATCTTCGCAGGCAGTAATTCCCTTACGGTTCATCGAAAATGCAGTTCGGGCATCGCGCGCGCCTCGAAGGCTGCCTGCCTGCCTCGTGCAGACAATTATCTCTGACCCTTGGCAGTCGAAAATCGAGGACGAGCGACGTGGCTCGAAGTGCGTTGAACCTCGCGCAGTGATGTCGAGATTCCGAAGGACCGATGAGGAATGGATGCTGGTTTAGCAGTGCAGATTTCGTCCGGGCGGGCGCTCTCCTGGCTGCTGGGTGCATTGGCCCCTTAGCTTTCATGTTCGCCTTTTAGTTGCTATAGCTACGCCCCCCGCGTACTCCCCCTTCCGTAGCACCCATCCAACCCAAGTCGACTCTCCTCTCTCTCTCTCTCTCTCTCTCTCTCTCTAGCTCACTTCAGTTTTATTTGAAATGCCCGCAGGGCACGTCCATCATCCATCTCCTGCACTGCCAAGTCCGATCACTTTTTGCCTCGACACGCCGGCTTCTACCTGCTCCACTGCCTCTCATGTCGAAAGCTTTCATGGATGGCTGCTGACGTACTGCGCCGGACAAAAGACTTTCTGCAAATCCAAAAAACCCACATTTTAGTATCGATATTTTCAAGATCTTTTTCTCACAATTATAAAATGAATATTACCTATTTCACATCTTTAACTAGAAATTTACATACAGTTTTTATATTACTTGTTTAGACCTAACAATTTCTTTGCGAAGGGTTTTCTATAAATTGCTCTAAATTTAATACAGCAACTGTGATAAATATAAATATAATATCTCGAAGACGTATTGTACACTCAAATTGAAGTAGATTACGAAAAATCAAAGTATAAATGAGGCACTGGTTCGTTACGATGAAAATAACGATTTAAAAAAAAAAAAAAGAATTGGAATATCAGCACATGGAAATCGGAAAAAATCTCCGGAGCTCGTGAATAGAGAGCAAAGCGGAACGTAGCGCTTTGGATTATGAAAAGCAATCGAAAGTGCAGAGAATTGGGATAGGCATTGGAAATTCATTAGAGCGCAGGGCGATTGAAGCGTTCCGCAACAACTTTTCGAGAATCAAGATACAATCGAGAGAGAGAGAGAGAGAGAGCCAGGAGTGGAACTTGGTTCGATTGTTTCCCCTTACGCTGCATTAACTTTTACGATCTGGATATCGAGCAATCGCGCGACGCTTTGGCACACGCCTTGAAAAAGTTATACTACGAACGAAAGAGAGAGAGAGAGAGAGAGAGAGAGAGAGAGAGAGAGAGGGAGAGAGAGAGAGAGAGAGAGAGAGAGAGAGAGAGAGAGAAGTCTGAACAGATAAAAAACAACGATTCCGTTGACGAAAAGTTACGCAACGCTCAATTTGATGAGAAACCCTTTTTATTCAGCTTGAAACGTTCTATTCTGAAAGTGCATTTCTTTAATTCCATGAAAAATAAACTTCAGTTGTTTTTCAGCGATAATGAAGATCTTATTTAAGCAAATATCTGTCTCGCAGTCAACTTTTCAGAGCTATCATGATTGTTTACTGAAAACACAACAGGTGCAAGTAGAAAAGGCTGCACCGAAGAAAGAGGACAAGACAATGGCCGAAGGGATAATCTTTTAAAGGCCTGCGAGATTTGCAGGAAGGTCAACAGCAGCAGTAGCACGCAAATTGGCCTGTAGTCGGCAGCCGTGGTTGGAGTTATGAGCTGCGGAAAGGCTTTAGAGTGGGGCATTAGGCCCACTCTAAAGCTGTGGAACCCTCGACTAATGCATGGCAGTTTTGTGTGAGCGCGCCCCCCGTTCACGCCTCCGCTTATGCTACTACTGTGAAGGTCTCGTGGCACGCGCTCGTGCCAGCCTGACTTTTACGATTCCGTTCAAGTGGTCATAAAACTTGAGTTTACTGCCGTCATGATTTTCAAGCGAACGACCGCCTCTCTTTCTCTCTCTCTCCCTCTCTACCACCTGTCGGAGTGCCTCAACGATCGTCCTCGACAATGACTGCGTCTGCCTTGCCGATTGTCTCCTGAAACAACTCTTTGATCATTAGGCTCGATGATACCCTACGGGTGCAAGGGACCGAAGAAAGCCTTACCTGAGCAACGGCTTCATTTTGCTCGAACAATCATCGCTCCGCTGTCTCTCTCTCTCTCTCTCTCTCTCTCTCTCTCTCTCTCTCTCTCTCTCTCTCTCTCTCTGCGTGAACGCCTGCTGTTGCTGCTGCAACTTTCGCGGCTTTCAAATAGGTCTCTTCATCATCTGCCCGTTTCAAGATGAGGTTTTCAACCATTTACGTCTTTCAATCGTCGGTCGAGTCTCTCGTTGACACCTTGAAACCAAGACAATGTCTTTTTAACTTAAATTATTCAAATGTTTCGATATAAAAATAAAAAATAGATGATAAAAATACTTGTACAATTAGTAAGCTATGAAATCCTTCGTGACATGACTATTTAATTAGTACAATCGGAAGTACATAACTGCCGCGATAAAGATTGCACGAAAAACATCAAAGAAAAATCCACGAACACAGTGTGCAAGAGAGGTACACGTAATAAAGCGGTAATCCTACAAGGCAGAAAACATTCACGTTCAGAGTGAGAGTGAGCATCCGACGAGCGCATAAAATCGTGTTTATTGACACAACGATATCGTAAAAATCGTAAACGAGCATCATCATCGAAAGGCGCCAGCAGTTCAGTCGTCAAGATGAATTTTATAGCTCATATCTCGCGCGCGAAGAAACTTTATCGGCTATTCGTTTGAATTATATGGCAAACAAAAGCTAACCACGGCCAATAAAATAAAAAAAATAAATAAAGATGAAGAAAGAAAGCGCGAAAGAAGGCACTCAAAAAATCATAAAAAAGAGAAGACGATTCAAGTCGAATTTTACGGTCTCCTGGCATCACGTTCGGTTGTCGTTAAACATTCAGAACGTTGAAGATGTTGCCCGCTTGCCCCACGTGAGGGAGATCGCGGGGCTTATGATGAGCATTACTCGGCTCGTTATGGAATAATTTACGAGGTGCGAAACGCGGGGGCGATAATCCAGCGACATTTACATCCCAATAAACAGCGGCGCTGCCTCTACACGATACGTGGCTGTGCGCTCGTGCCGCCGCGGCGCTCTCGTTTTTACGACGTTTTAATTGTGCTACACTCAAATTGGCCCGTAAAACGTCGGCGGCGGCCTCGCCACCTCTATACTACTGCCGCTGCTCTACGGTCTCGTAAAGCGCTTTACGATTGCGCCTCGTCAGACGGCTTTTCCGCTTGTCTCCGCGGCCCTTCCGACGCACGCGCTCGCAAAAATCTTTCGTTACCGATGAGATGACATTGTGATTGTAACGGCGTCAGTTGCCCCATATCCCCATCACAATTATCGGCTTCGCTGGGCATTTTACGCAGACTACCGCATCATCTCTCGTTGGACTCGAATTTCGGGCGCACGATAAAAGACAGTGTCCACGAGGCGCCAAGAAAAGCGCTGACAAAATGTGGTTTTGGGTTTTGCCCGAGCAGCATTTCCAAGATCAATCGTGCCGATCCACGAAAGAACGAGCAGGCGAGCGTCGAAAAAGGGCGGCTGGTCGAGTCGAGCCTACACCGCGACAGCGAGAGCCCGTGAGCTACGGGAGAGCAGCCGTAGCGCGGTGGCGAAGTGCTGCCGATGCGCTGGCCGTGGTGGGTCTGTTGGCGGCGGTCTAGCGGGGCTAGTTGGTCGACGGTCGGACAGGTGGCGCTGCGAGGCTGGCGCTCGCTTGGCGAGCGCGCGTGTCGTAGGCGTGGCTTGGCAGTGGCGGCGGTGGGGGCAAGTGGTCGGTGACGAATTCGCTGGCGATTGGTCGTTAAGCCGCTGGTGTGCGAGAGAGAGGCCTCCCTCCCTCTCGCGGTGGCGTCTTATCTGGCTGGAATTTAATCCAGAGTTAGCTCTACAGGGGGCTCTCGCGTGCGCCAGCGAGCGT